TCCCATGTCAGAGTTATAACTTCAAGCTGTTTGCAGACTCAGAGACAACAGCACTGAAGCAGTTTGTACAGATTCATGACTTTTAGAGATTTCTTTTCAACCATAAAGACAAGAAACAAATTGTTTATACATGAAAATGTATGTTCTTGCAGAAGGGGTTGGTCAGAGTGGACTCTGTGGAGCTCTGATCACAGTTTGCATAAAGTATATTAAACTCAACAGCCATGTTAAATTTCTAGCCCCCAATTTTTATGACATCCAAAAACTTAGTCAACTACAGCCCATCACACCTACCAGTCTGATCAGCTGTCTGTCCAGCCACCTCAATACATCTGGTCCCTCCTCTGTTTCTGCTCTGTAGACTCCCAGCCGTGCCATTAGTACAGCAGCAGCTTCCTGGTCAAACGCAGCTTCTATATGCTGGAGCTGATTCTGTGCATCTGCCCAACTAATGCATAATGGAAGTCAGTGCTATATGCCTTAATCTTTAATGAAAACAAAAGCAAGCCCTGCTGTATATGTAAAGCTCCCTGTATCCAAAGCACTTAGATCTGTGCTGGAAAAATTCAGAAACGCAAACTGTGGTAAAGTGTATACCATCCAAAACCAATGAAGTATGGATTAATATAGGGAGCTTACTTTCTGGCTATCGTGGTAACTCGGATGCGCTTTTGCGTGCTGGAGTGTTGATACTGAGTGACAAACTGCACAGCACCTCTGCCACCCTGAGGTATTGGTGCATTGTGCTGCAAAACAGAAAAACTCAGAGTTACTACTGTAAGCAGTTTAGAGTGCCCAGATTTAGAAAAAACACAAAAGCAAAAACACACTGCATGTCAAGCCTGAATCCAAGTACAAATGGGAGAAAAATTGCCCAGGACAATTAGTTCAAGACTGCTAGGTTAGTTAGACACTTCACCAGACTCTGCATCAGCTGGCCAATAAAAGGATGGAAGTAGTTTATCCTCTCTATATTACTGGAAAAACAGCATTTTGAAAAAGACAGGTCTGAGCAATGTGATAGGGAAGGAACAGAAGAGAAAAGGTGGAGTATAATCATCATGCAAAATAAAAATATTAAACTTCTGAAAGAAACATTATAATCTGTGTGAATATATTTTTTACCCAGAAAGTTTATTACTTGATAGCCTCTCTCAGAAGAATCATAATCTCTTTTCCTGGATCTGTTAAGGTGCTGTAAGTAACATTATGCATTTGTGTATAAAGGAATGAGCAAAAAACTAGACTGACCTGATTTACCACTTCAAAATAAATAGCAAGGGTTGTGTTGGGATCCAGGCTACAAATTTTCCACTGACACGTTCCTCCAATACCAAGTTCCTGAATAGAATTCAGAAAAAAGTAGCTATTTTTTATCTCTAGGATTGGATGAGGTAAGTGCATTTTGAGTTGTGGCTGAAAGGTAAGTCGAGTCACATGCCTCTTGGATCCAGTACCTTCTAGATACAAGCTAAGGGGCCAGAACAAACTTCAAAAAATAAGTAAACTTCATTAACCAGCAGATAAAGCCAGAATTGTCTGCCCTTTCCAGTGCTCCTTCTGTATCAGTTAGCCATCAGTGGGATACATTATGGCAGCCCAGCTGGAAAGCCCCCAAATCGCTCAGAGATGAAACACATCTCCTCCACAATGTATCCAATTTCCTTAGTCTCGCTGAATCCCACCACACTCCCCCACCAGCCTCTCCTACTCAACAGCACCTCACACTGCTGTCAGACCAGAGCTAGCCAAAATCCCAGCTCTGTTCATCAGCTTCTTTAACCAAAAAGAACACTGGTGTCAGACTTACGTTTTCAGAGACATATGGCCCTTTAGCATTTAGAGAGATGCATGGTCCAATAGCCCCTCCAATCTTCAGCTCCCTTGAAGTCTAAAATCAAATCAAAACTTAGAAAATGAAACCAGACACTGAATGTGTGAAGCGTTAGAAGAAAAAAAAAAAGAAAACAGCTACTCAAGTTTAATCAGAAAAAGACTGAAAAGCAGGTTTCCTAACTGCAGTGCAGAAAGCTGATGGATTGTGGGTTTTTCTTCTCTGGTTGGTTAAGTCACTTTGAAAGACAGGCATCCAACACTGTCTCATATCTGCTATTGCTGCAGTTGCTATAGGGACATTGTGTAATTGTGAATGGGAAACCACATGTAATGCATATGGTTTTTATTGAGGTCCATACAGTGATAAAAGTTTGGAAACATGTCATTTACATAATCTGTACCACGAAACCCACAATTCCCAATGCCAAATATAAAGTATGCCTTGCCAAATGTGAGCAGAGAGGGCAGTTGTTCATTTCTGCAAAGTTTAAACGTTCAGGAAAAAAACATTCTAACCTACCCCTTATCAGTCTAAATTACAAGAATCTGACTGATTTCTTCTTGCTGCTGCTACTAAAAATCTATGAGCAATAGCATGGGAAGGCATCGAAGCTACTCCCGGTGAAAACACCTTGAAAAATGAAAGCAGAGATGGAGGAAGAGCAGTGGAGGCCAGGCCTTTTGTTACTCAATACGCTTCAAGATGGGATCCAAGAAGGAATACTCCCTTCTTCCTTCTAGCAGCTAAAAGGGCCCAGTGTACCTCAGGTCTGTGGGCTCAGCACCACCTGCAGCAATCTGCCTGTGTGGAGCAGTTTGTGGGACTGAGACCTTGGGTCAGATCCTTAGCTGTCAGGCATCTCAAAATTCCTCCCAGGAGCCCTTTCAACTCAAATACCTGTGCATTGCCATACACACTCTCCCTGTCTCTTCAGTGGCATCTGCCATCAAGAAAGGGCCACAGGAAACTTATTAAAAAAACTCACTAAAATACTCTGTGCTGCAAATGTTGAGCTCGAAAGCATCTCATTTCCCCCAGCTATTTAAAAAATTAATTCTCAGTGAACATTCTGTTGTGTCTGACCAAATGTCTCACCTTCACATCTAGAGAGGCACCAAATGCCATTCGAAATTCCCCATTGAAATCTTTGCTGAAAACTCGCTGGAATGTCTGCTTGAAAAGAGAAGTGTTGAAGGAGTCTCCCATCACCATGTGACCCCTGGGAAGAGAAAGTGACAAACAAGGGAATTAAAACAGCAACTAACTAGATCACTTCCCCCCTCCCCGATCCCCCAGCTTCTTCCTCATCACACAAAAAATACCCTGAAGAAAATAGCTGTAAAAAACTTGCATAGCTTTTCAAAGCAAGAACTAACAGTAGGCTGATGCAATTCCATGCATACCAGGGACAAGTTTATACAGGTGGAAGGTTTGTGTTAACATAAAATGGCAAGCACATTTAGTATTTGCGGAAAGGACTGGACTGGCAGCTCTGGAGTCCTTATTTTATCGACACAAAAAAAGCAGCATAAGACAGCATGGCACTAAGACAGAGTGGCAAAAAGGTCAGTCTGTGTGCTTCACTGGGACAGACCATTTCTAGGGCAGGAAGTGTAGCTCCATCTATCAGTTGCTTTCTGATGCAGATAGTATATCAACCTCTCATTAACTCTTTAGGTGCAATAATAGTGACCAGGGCCATCCCAGGAGGGGGAAACCAGGGCAACTGCCCCAGGCCCCACAGAGCTGGGCAGAGTGCCTGCAGCAACTCTGCACTGCTGGCTTCTCATCCAGCCATTCACTGCACCCGGCCCCCTCACCACCGACACCGATGGCAGTGGCAGCTTCTTTGGGTCCGAGGTGGAGCAGGGATGGGGCTCCGCATGAGCTGATTTGCCCCAGGCCCCACACCCTGCTTGGGTCAGCTCTCATGGTGACCACACTCACCCCCAAACATCATCTTTCCTTCTCTTCCCCCTGCTGAATCCTCATCTATTCCATCCACCTCCTCAGAAAAAAGCCTGCACAAGTGGGGGGCCCTCACAGCACAGATCAGAATTCAAACCACCCCATACTCTATTACGCTGAAAGAGGAAAAGGAATTCTAGATGTGAAGGTTCTCTACTGAAAGCACTCTGGACCCAGACAGATCAGCCAACATATACAACAGATCTCAACTGGAAGATTAGAGAGAGACAGCCCCTAAGACTCCCCATGCAGTCTCTCTAGATAAGGTGGCTTCTCTATATAGGCTGCCAGTGAGGGAGTTAATTAACACTAAAAGAAAACTCTTTTCCCTGACTCTTGACTTAGAGAAACCAAGTATCCACAGAGACCCAGATCAATCTAGGCCCTAGCAATGAAAGGTTCCAGCTGTCATAATCAATCTCATCTGTTCTCTTACTATTCTATGTTGTAGACTTCTGTACAGAGTTAACAGATACTTAAAGGCTTTGCTCAAATACAATTCTCAAGGCGCAACTCTGTGGCTACCACTGTCCTACTCTTCTTTCAGGAAACGTAGGTGCAAAACCTGAGCAAAATGTAAGGTGTTTGCAAAAGATACCATCATACAGCATTTAGCTGCCAGTTACAGAATTAAAACAGCCTTCTCAAAATAAGTCATTTGATTTGCTATTGACAACGTCCCAATTCATCCTATACAAGCTGCTCTGGGCCATGATTTTAAGATACTGAAGTGAAGGGGAAGCTTTGTCACTGAATTCAGTGAAGGCAACACCAGACCACTGATGTTTATAAGCCAGAAACGTCCATTCACCATCAGACCTTTGATATCACATCCCAAGAGGTATGGGTCCATTACATTGTTTCTTCACTACAAACTTACCCAGTGAGGTTTGTACAACACTTCATCTCCAGAAGGCCAGTCTGATCAAGAGCGCAAGCGTAAATATCAATGCAGTGACCATTGGCTGCAGTGCGATTAGCCAGAGTCTCATAATGCTGTGAAGGAAGACAGCTTACTATTTAAAAACACTCCAACAGAATTTCCTTGTGCCCTATAGCTAGGTCTGATATAGGAATTTGCCCATTTTAGTGACAAAAAGCTTCTTCTGTTTTAATAGTAGTATGCCATGTCCTAAGAATACCAAATACCAGAACCATTACAGGCAAAGAGCATTCCATCAGAGCCTGCTTTTAATTTCTAGGATGTTTATTCCCTAGAGACAGAGCCCTGAGCTGGCAAACCCATGATGATATTACCACAAGCATCCTAAAGCTCAAAAGATGTCTTGCCATTAAACTGATTATGTTCAGCCTGCTGGAAGGTTCAAGATATTTCTTGTTCAGCAAGAGTGAAATCTTCCCTTTGGAAGAGAGCACTACCTACCTTTGTGGCCTTTTTCATGAACCGTGCATTATCCTTCTCTATGTCATGCCAGGAACGAATGGGGGTTTTCAGTTCATCTCCTACTACCATGCCAGGTCCTTGTGTGGGTGGACCACCTGTAAACAACATTATTCTGGCCCCTGTGTTTGGAAATGTGCCCTAAAATAAAATGAAAGCTTTCTTAACAGATGTGCAAATTAAATGAGAGCAATATTTCCACTATACTCAAAGTCTGTGTCTATCCTCCCCTATAGCACCTACCACACTGATCCTGATGGGGCCTCCAGACACTTTCTTAATAAATAAATACTGGCTTTTTAAAACTAAAACAATGGGGATTGCTGCACCCTGACCCATTTGAAAACACAGGGCAGGTCCAATTCATATTTTTACAGCATGAACCTGACCACATCTGTTCCCATCTTCCTTGCTATGCCTCAGAATATTCAATGAAACTGGTGTATAATAGTACCCAGCTCTGATATACATGGAAGTCAGAAGTTAACATTTGTAAAAAGCTTCTGAACTCCTTGAATGTCTGGGGCACACAACAACCAAACCATTCCAAAATGTCACTGACAGGAAACTGGTTCGCCATTGTGTGAAATGCTGTGGCTTCAAAACCAGGGACTGAGCACCTACCTCAGCATGCCCGGGTGAGTACGTGGGGCTGCAGGGGGCTGCTTGCACAGATGCTTAGGGATCAATGGTGGGTCAGCAGAAGCTGGGGGAGGAAGGGGGGGACCCTAAGATCCTGGATGCTACTGCAGCCAGAGCAAGAAGCAGTGGCCCCTTGAGCCACATTAACTGCTCATGAGCTCTATGTGGCTCACTGGCTGAGAGTTGGATAGCCCTGGTTTATTTGATGAACACTGCAATTTGTTACAAAGATCAACTTTTTGACTTGTATTGTGACATGTATTCATACTACATTCTCAGATTCCAAGACACATTGGCCATCCCTGCTTATATCTAAAATGAACAGTGAAACTGGGATTACCTCCAATAAACCAACAGCAATCGATAGAGCTACTCCAGTCGATCGCAAGGGTCTCTTTCCCTGAGTTACTGGCCACGGGTCCCTTTGCAACTCCCCAAGCAGATCTGTCAGGTTCATGTCAATCTTGTGTATAGGCTGCAGAAACCTGAAAGAATCGAAAAGGTTTTTATGAGGTTATATAACTTGGAGAAGAAGCAACTGCTTTGCTTACAAAAACTGTATCAATGCATTTAACTTGCATCAGATACCAAGGAACACGTCCATCTTGCTTTTCAAAAGATAACACAGAAGAAGGCACTCCAAAAATCCTACAGGCTGCCCACTGCTCTAATAAACCTTATAGACACATCTCAACAATTAAAGTTACAGTTTTGAATAAGTCACTGCAATTAAATAGTGCAATCCAAGCCATCTTACAAGGGTTCCTTTTGGGAAATAGATGATACTGACTATCAGGCACCTGCCCTCTTCTATCCTTCTTGTATATAGTGCTTTGTAGAGACTTACCTGCTTGAAATAACTGGCTGTTCCTGAGGTTGAAGAGGTCTTCCCTGCTGAACAGGGACAGCTGGCCTCGTAAGACCCAACATATCCTACAGAACACAAGGCACAGAGGGGCAAAGAACTTATTACTGAAACATCAAACCTATTTACCACCTATCCATCTACCTCAGGTACACAGCTGGCTCCCATCTGTGCAGTATCTGCATGGTTTGCAGCTATTAATGCAT